GTTTCCCGCAATACCCGCTTCCTGGATACTCGCCACCTCCCGCCCCAGCAGTGCCAACATACCCCGCTTCGGACTCGAGACTGTCGTCGGATTGATATTGGCAACGCCCTTTGTCCATCCTCCCGTTCTCCATCCCGTGCTAAAGTCCCATCTCTCAGGCTCGCTTCTAGCGGCGTCCTGCGCACGCGGGAGCACTCAGCATCACCGAGGTAGGTGGTGTGACAGTTCGCTCGAAGGCACAGAGAGCCTCGCGCGAGCAGCTACGATATCCTCGGGCGCGCGCCTCGATCGTCAAGATTGGTGTTTTACGAGCGCACTCGCGCACAGCGTCGTTATTACGCTGGCGCTGCCATGTATGCGTGTGATCCCTTGCGGACGGTGTCAACGAACCAGGACGTGAGGCTGGACGCGAGGATACTCCCCGCTAGCGAGCATTAGTCTAACACGAGCCACGCTCGACGCGAGGACCGTAATGTAGGGCATCGCGTACACGCGCCATCTCCCAGAAATCTTCATACTCCTGCAGCTTGGCGAAGCTCAGTCCTCATGCAGTCTCTCTCGCTCGTAGATAATTCCCACGAAGGCAAGGAGGCTGTTTGCGCGCTGGTGCACGTGATGCCTGGGGGTTTCACCACGGCTTCGTGGTCCCTCTCCCACCCTTGCGGGCGCTTGTCGTTGGGGCCTGCTAGTGGATATGATTGACTCATATTGATACACTACCGCTGTGCAAATCTACCCCCGTCGCCCTCGCTTAGACTCCTCCGTTTTGTTTAGATAAGGAGCAACAATTGCCTGCCCTACTGGCGTAGCTTGACGAATCTCGGGGTTTCATGCCTGTGAGGAAAGAGCGGAGCTCTGGGTGCATGCCTCGAGCCTGAATCGAACAAGCGTTTCCTGTGGGATCCAGGTGGTGGGTTCACGATGTGCTGGCGCGGATCATCCGCCATCGAGTCCGACTCATCTGCAAATTACGTTCAACAAACGAGATTAATTGCGCAATCCGATGCCATGAGGGGCATCACGCTGAGTGTTTATTTGGACCGACGACTTCTGACGTTCCAAAGTGGGAGTCACTGTGAATGAGTTCATCGAACCTCGTACTTAAATCAAGCCCGTGGTACGTTGTCAGAATCTCGATTCAACCACGGGTGATCAAGGCAGATGAAATTACTGAGAATGTCCACCACGACTGGGACCTGAGTAGAACAGGCTTGATTGATTGATTGAAATTCTACGGCTATCGTACCTGGCCTAATGGCTACGCGACTGTACTCTACGAAGGTAGTATGGGTCGTAATGCAATGGCATATACGGGGGGAACTTTATGGTATGATGAGAGGTGGAAAAAGCAGGGACCAAAGGTAAGGGAAAGCTTGGAGTCATAACGAGGGGAATAACACATCGTGAAAAATGGGGCAGATGCCAAAGCCGATATGGTACGTATCTGGCACATTAATTCTGGCGTCGCAACCGATTGCCTTCATCCTTCAGCGCCCACACGGAGTCCAATTTGAGCCAAGGAATGCGAAAAGAAATTGGGTTCCTACAAGAGGCACGCGGGAATGTTAGTGTATACCCTCTTCCAGCGCCTGCAGTTTTAATGCTCCTCCGCCGGTCCTCGGTACCTCCCCTACACTCCTTTCTAGGGGTCCTGCTTCACGATTCTGAACTGTTCTTTCGGGATTATTTGAGGCGGAACAGGTCAAAAAACCCCCGAATACCCATTTTCTCACTCAATTTTGGGCGAGAAAATACGAAGCTCAGATTCGAAATCAGCGGCCAAAAAAACGGACAAAGTAAAAATGCCCCCACTGCCGCCTGGCGCCGGTTGGCGGCAATTTGGTGGCACTCAAATTAGTGCCATGTTAGTCTCGGCCTGTAAAATAACCCCAAGAGTACTACACGATGTGTGGTGAGTGATGCGTGATCGCGGATGAAGTACTCCTGCGAGCGAGGACAGCACTCGCCGCCCGGCAGCATTCACTCCCTTTCCTCCGCAATTTGGTTACTTCATGCGCGCGGTCTCTCCGTATATGATTCTCTTCAGGTTAATAAATACTATATACTACTGTGAAAATCAATTTGCGCCGCACTCGCAGAAGTCTCTGGGCGTGAACCTCTCAACCCCGAATGCATGCAGGGTTTAAAAACAATGGCTGGCCACATCAGGTCCGAGCAAGCGGTTCTGTGTACTTGGTATATAAAAGAAGGAATTCGTCGTCTTCCATGCCTCGAGCCTGAATCAAACAGGCATCTCCTGCAGCAATGGTTTCCACGGCTACTACGGCATGGAGCGCTGGTGCGGCCCATCCGCCATTGAGGCGCTCCATTCAACTGTGAGCGTTTATTGGAGGCGAGGTCTGGGCATTCTTGACACGGACTTTGCTTGTAGGAATGGGGATCGTTCGTATGACAATGTCAGTCGCATCCCGCGTGGTAAAATACTGTACCTCTAGAAGAGCATTTAAATCAACTCCGCGAGTGTTGGGAGATAAGACTCTGGGCGAAAGAACAGATCTTTGCGATGTACGCTGTAAATTCAGCACGCGATATTCAAAGCTGTTAAATGAAAAAGGGCAACTATGCCTGCTCAAGACTCGAGCCTGATTAGAACAGGCATCTCCCGCGAGATCCGGGAGCTGGAAACACGAAATGCAGCCGCGGACCATCCGCGATCGAGTCGTATTCACCTGCAACTTAGATCCAATAAACGAGGTTAATTCCGTGTTGGATGCGATGAGGACCACGACGGTTGAACTTGAGCAAGCATTTTTTTGAGACCGGGATGTGCGGGAAAAGATGGGCGTCTCGGGATTTATTTCTAGTCTCGCAGACGTTTCGAGACGTGGACTCGCGAGAACCGATCAATCCCGACGCCGTGTGAGTTACGGAGTTCCAGAGACGATTTGTGGCATCCGTCGGCGAAGTGATACATCGTGTGAGAAGACGAGGAGTGCTGATCCAAGGGGGAATCGGGATTCGAAAAACGGATATAGGGTCGAAAAGTTTTTTTCGACCCTCGGCCAGACCCCCCCCCCCTATAGGATGTCTTCGTACAGGAACATCTCCAGTGGAACGCAGGCACGAGGCAGTCGTCTGCGAAGCGAGAGCACCACGAAGTGCCTATGGATATTCTCCGGCTGGTCGAAGAGAGCGAGACCTGTCCAGTGATATGGATTGTATTCCTATAAGTATTGGCACTGGTACATACCTTGGACACAGATCCACGTAAAGAACAATGGACCCATGGCGACCAGCCATGCATGAAACTCGCCCGTGAATACCCCGCTTTCCCATCTGGCCTGCGTCAACCGCGTAGCCTGGCTGCTGCACCAGTCCTTGTGGCAGACCCAATCCGCCCGCTGACACTGTGTATCCTGAAATCCGCGGCATGAGAACGAAATCCCAGACGACTCGGGGCCGACGTACGCAGTAATAGAGCGTCTTGCACTGTGAACACCGCCGCATCGGCACTCCCTTGAGTTTCGAGTTGCCGCACCCCGGGCGGGCGCAGGTTGGCCCACCCATTTGGCGAACAATCCTTTCTGATGGACGTGAGGGCCTTGGAGGAACACAGAGGAAGAGTCGAGGGACGTGGTCTGTTGGCGCGACGGGCCTCAGAGGTGATAAGCGGCCACGACCCTGCTTCAATATTACGCTATCACTCCATATTTGCTCCACGTGAGCTCCGATTGCATATTTTCTCGGATAGGTTGAAGGCCAACATAGCGTACCGTCTGCGTGCAGTTTAAAATTCACAGAAAAGACAAGCAGTACTTATACCAGGACGCCCGGTGGAGCGAGTCTGGGATGTAAGAAATAGAGCAGACCATGCGCGCCGAGCCTCCTTAAGACACCTCCAACCTCAAAGCCCATCAAGGGGAGCTTCTGCTGCGAACCTAGCCTCTTTTTTCAGAGACACAGAGCGTGGACAATGCGCGCCAACGAGTCGACATTTTCTCTGAGGGCACCTTGAGTAAACGAGCTCAATTCTATTAGAGCCGGGGAGGAATCCTTGTAAACCAGCGCGACCTCGAGTATTAACAAAAAGACGGTGTCGATATATCTATGACTCGGGCCCGAGTCGAACGGGCAGCGTCTGCGACAAGGTAGAAAGCCATGATGAAACAATGCAAATGTGGACCTTCCGCCACCGAGTCTGTGAAAGCACTGAAACTCACCTGAATATCTACACCAGTCATCGGGAGTACTCAACTGGTGATTCCCAATGATTGCTGCATCTGGATTGGCATCGAAGGTCCGAAGGGTGCCGACAAAAAGAGGATTTCTGTCGCACCAAATGATTCGGGCTCGAATCGAACGGGCAGCTTCTGCTGAAAAGCATATTATTGAAGAGTGGTAAAGGGAGGCAGATGCGTACCGTCCGCCACCGAGTCGGTAGAAGGGTTGAAAGTGACTTGGATAAATGCTAGAAATATGAATTCGCAATCCAGCGATGGAGAGATACTTGATTAGATCGCGACGTGGATCATCAGGTCACCAAGTTCGTTGAATCAGTGAAAAGGCACTGGGAGCGAAGCAGACTGCACAGCTCGGGCGCCGAAATGGAAGGAAAGTTTCGCGTTCCGTAGCGGAGTCAGACGTTTGGGAAATACACCGAGTAGAGCAGCACGATGGAAGAGAGTCGAGGCGCCAACGAAAGCGAAGTAGTAGACAGCGAAGTAGACGGAGGAAAAATGAGCTCACCGACTGAGAATCTAAGACCCGGGCCCGAATCGAAGGGGTAACTCCTGCTGAGATGCGGGATTGAGGGTTTTATGGGATGCAGAGGCGGACCATCCGCTACCGAGTCGGCGAATGCAATGAAGCCACCTGAATATCCGCGTCAGTTTGGCATCGGACACATTACAGTGGTAATTGAGATTCCATGTGCTTCTTGAGTACTGAGTTTCAATGATAGGAAGTACGTTTCGGGCCATGGAAATGTTGGATTTAAGCAAGGGGACAAAAAGGGAGAAAAAGACACGACCATGAAGCTATGACCCGGGCCCGGATCGAACGGGCGGCTTCTGCCGATCAGCAGAAAAGATTCAGGCTTAAGGAGCACAGACGCGGACCATCCGCCACCGAGTCGAGGCGAGGGTTGAACCCGAAGAGGGACGAGGGTTGAGACGCAAACGAGAGCTCTGGGATCCGGACAGCCAAAGCGCAGGCGGGAGAAAAAAAGAGGTATCAGACTCGGGCCCAAATTGAACGGGCGCTTGCCGCATAACAGCAGACGTCACTGGGTATGTGGAGTGGACGCGAAACCATTCGCCAACGAGTCGTCGATACAGCTTAGTTGAGCATCTAGTTGGGGATTTTGAAAGGCGAAGCTTGAGATCTTGAGAACATGACGGCGGAGCAGAAAGAGATCGGCACAATCGGCCGGCATCTCCCGGCACGTGATCGCCTTGACCACGTCATTCATTCCTTGCCCTCCTCCTCCTGGTCCTCCCTTTACGGTTCTAAAGCTTCTCTGTCTGAATCTCCCTTGAAGGCACTTGGATAATAACCGATCCCGCCTGACACTTCGTCCTCAAATTCATCATCGCGGTGCGCCCCCGTGTGCCGCTTCCCTCAAACTGAAATGAATCATAGGCAACGCGGCGGTAGGCAAGTCTTCGCTGCTGGTGCGCCTCACCGACCAGCGCTTCCTCGCGAATCTGGATCCCACTGTGCGTCTCTTTCTCACATGCACTTAGACAGAGAGGCTGATCGGTGTACATACAAATATAATGCAGCTGGGCGTCGGATTCGGCTCAATGCTCATCACGCTCCTCGACGCCGAGGGCAGGGATGCCACAGGGACTGAGTCCTTCCGCTCCAGTGCGGGATTGTCTTGTGCTTCGCTGCGTGTCACGGGCAAGCTCTTCGTCGCAAGCCGCGAGGAGCGGCTAGGATGTTCGCGCGTGCTGCGGCCAGAAATGTGGCGCCGTAGCGAGTGCCTCTCGCGCGCCTCTCGCTGGATGGCGTCCCTCCTCGCGCGCCGTGCTAGCAGTCCTACGGCTTCCTCTCTTCCGTGCGCGCCGTCGTGCGCCGTTGGCGCGCCGGGTGTCTTACGGGTGGCTCAGTGCTCGCCGCCCGAGAGTAGCCATATCCTTGCTCGTGCAATTATTTTCTGCGGGTGCTCCGTCTGTGTCCGTCCGTATACAATTGTCTTCAAGTTAATAAATACTATTGTGAAAATCAACTCGCGCCGCAGTCGCCGGTCTTTAGCCAATGCGCCCATGCTTGCCCCACAAGTCTCGGGGTGTGGTGTCCCTCCCGAGGACCTATCCCTCGAGCCTGAATCGAACAGGCGTCTCCCGCAGTAATGCTCTCAGCTCGTAATCCTAACAGAGCGCCGGTGTGGCCAGCCGCCGTCCGCCATCGAGGCGTTGTTGACTTGAGAAAGCTCCATTCACCGGTGAGCCTAGTTGAAGCTGATAGCCATGCCTCTGGCTTTGATTGAGAAAATCAGGTGCAAGTGTGAGTTCCCAGGACGTGCTGCTCCCAGTCGCATCCCACGAAGATCGTTGCTGTGATGCGTTGTTGAGGCAGACAGGAACCGAGGCGCTGAGACGATCATTCACTGTGGCGCTACCAATCAGGAATACTATATTTGGTGTGCGATGTGGAGGAATATGCCTGGGGCCACTGATAGAAGGGAGATCGAAGCAGAATATAACAGCCACAGTGCAGAATAAGCAACACGTACTGTGAATCAGGGGCTCAATGTGGTCGGCGGTGACGCAGATGTTGGATCAGGCCTGTGGAATGGAATAATGGACCGACGCGCCATGACAGACCGTATCTTCACGGCGCTTGCTCTTGAATATGGCTTTCCTGCAAATTGGGGGCTTTGGGGGAGCGAAGTTGGAGCAGCAGAGTCATGGGCTCGATCTAGGTAGGTGAAACCCCCGGGGTGAGGCGCGTGAATACGTACGAGGCCTCTGTGGACATTCGGCGCGCCGGCGAGCGGGCGCGCTGACCGGCGGAAGAGCGAAGATGATTAGCTAGAAGGCAGCGTAGATTCGCGGCGATGATACGAGGTGGAGGAAGGGTGCAGTGCAGATATGTCGGCGTCCATGAGCGCTGCCACGCGCGGGTGATGGATAATGGTGCGGAAAGAACGCAGTCAAGAGGATGCTCGGGATGTGAGGATGATTCCGGCAAGTATCCTAGAGATAACCCGTTGAGAGAGTTGGCGGGGACGGTCGGGGCAGAGGTAAGGAATAGTACGAGATTCCGAGCGAGAGCGAGACTCGGGGGGTATGGATCCGCGCGGTGTGCTCATGAGAAAGCCAGCGTATCGACGGCCCCACGAATGAAAGGCCGCGGGACGCGTTGGCTGTCATAAGAGTCACAAGAGCGGGCGGCATAGAATGAGCGACGAGCTTACAATTAGAGGGATGAGGCCGTGGTAGATGTACGGTACCGCAAGCAGCCAGTAGGAATGGGGTAGGAGGAGATAAATGGCGGGTTAGGAAAACATGGAAAATACCTCAACTGTGGAAGCCGTGGTACGATGTAGCGGATTGCGGATTGGGTGTTGCGTGAATCGTGGATGCGAGGAATGGATTGTGCGGGATAGCGGCGGAACGGCAGGGTGAATCTGGGCAGATAACGGCGGGGCAGGGGGTAATGCAATGAGTGGTCGAGGACGGTGGCTTAGGATATCTTGACGCGCCACATCTTTACTACGGTGGGCAAAGTGAAACGTAGGCCACGGGGTTGAACGACTGGCGCGGCAGGATGCGCGGAGGTAGGCGGATGCGGGGATGGTGACGACGTCAAAAGAAAGAAGGGAGGTGCCGGGATGATCCGTGCGAAGGCCGCGATACAGCACCACACAAACGCGTCGCGTCGGCGTCATCGAACGTCAATGTGAACGGGATGGACCGGTCGAATGTGCGGGGTTCGATACGGGCAACTCCTCGGTACGCGACTTGGGAGGTGGCGGCACTGCGAAGTGGGTTGCCGGCGCGGTGGGTGGAAGAACGTGGTGAGCGTCATCGAGAGCAAAGTTGTATGACGCGGCGCGAAGGAGGCCGCCGAATTCCCGGAAATAGCTTCACGAAGCGGCGGAACTTGGGCACGAAGTCCATGTAAAGAGAGCGAAGTCGGTCAACCGGGCACCGGACCAACGCGGCGGGCGAGCTCACAATGTGCAGCTGGATGCGGCGGGCGCGAAGTGGGAGAGTTTGAGAGAATAATGATGGCATCACGTAGGGAAAATTCGTTGGCGACGAACGAGATGATGGAGCAGAATTCGGTAGGTAGGTAGGTAGGTAGCATTACACGGCACGGTCCCGCTTAGGAACGCCGGTTTCGAGAAGTATCCCGGAGTACTACAGGCAAGTTATGTACTCCATCGTCCCCGACCTCTAAATACCTCCCGAGCCGAGCTCACGCACCCAGTCTCCTGTCACGCGGTAGAACCCGGTCGATATCTAGAAGCAAACATGTTAACTTAACATTGCCACCTTCGTTCAGACAGCAGGCCGATACACAGGGGTAGCATAGAAAACCTCAAGAACTTCATACGCAAATTTAGCCACGAGAGCGATTGTTGATCTTTCATAAACCATGGATTTAAAGAACTCAATTAAATTTTGTTCATCCATGAGTGGGCGCAAGATTGGTGCAGTTTTGAACAGTTGCACGTCTCGTAGGGCCGACACCTCGGCAGAGGCGTCACATACCAATAGAGCATGTTCTGGAGTTTCAACATCGATTTTGCACAACCTGCAAACCCGTTTAGAGCGATCATCTACTCGTGGTTGCATATGATCCCCCCAACGCAAAATTTCAACGGCTAGCAGGTGGGTTGACAACAGAAGGGACGTTAGAGCCTCTCGATGCTTCTGGGTCTTCACCATGGATAAGTAGTGCCGTAAACGTAGCGTTTGTGGTGCAGGAGGTTTGTCTTTTTGTGGTTCACGACGTCCCTGGATCAGGTAAAGCTTGTCTGAAGCGTCGACTTTGCCTTGAATCCATTTCAGCATTGCAGCGTCCACAAATTTTGCATATTCCAGCACGGATTTCGACGTAGTGGAAGCAAGGTCAGGAAGCGGGCATGAGAATGGAAGCTTGGATGCAGCAGTCATTAGATCCTTTGCCCAGGATTTTTTTCCCATAGCAGCCAGTTTAATGGAGCTGTTTACCGCAGCGCGGGCAAAATGGGTGGGTAGGAGGTCTAAGAGGTACTGGAGGTAGCCAAGCACAAGGATAAAGCGTCGAACTCGAAGGGGGACAATGCCTGTTTCAGTGTAGAGCGGAATGAGCATGGATCGCCCATGAAGATTGAGCATTTGCCGGATGAACGAGACTTGGACTTCGCAGAGTTGTTTGACATGGACATCTTCGCAGTCGGGCGAAATTTCGCAACCGTGGGTGAGATGACAGTCTACCCGTGCCATATAGAGCAATTTCAACTCTTTTGGAGTCAGCCTCCCGGTCTTGTCCTCAATGGCCATGATACGATGTGCGCAGTACCGCGCAGTGCCTGCTTTAGCTTTGTAGTGGTCTTCAAAAATATTTTGAGTATCCGCACGCAAGTGTACACCGACATATTTCTCCTCATCTGTGATCTTGAGTGTTTCGTTGCCAAGCAGGAAGACGGGTATGGGATGCGGTATTGTGCCCAGGATCAAAACCACGGTTTTCAGCATGTTGATCAGGATAAAATTGATGGCACACCACTCTTGGAGAGTTCTCAACTTTGCACGCAGCCCTCGAGCAGAAAGCGAGATCAGTAGAATATCGTCTGCTTGCGCCATCATCGCAATTCGAACATTCTCCAGAACCACGTCGTCCAGGTCAGGTAACATCACAAGATCCGCCATGAATAGGTTCCAGAGCACAGGGGAAGCAGGATCACCAGTGAGTAGTCCGATTAATGCCTTGAATTCCGCGGATTCTGAGTCGCCGTGCTTCACGTAATAGCCCATTGTCATATACGTACTTCGCAACCAGTCAAATATCCGACCAGCCATTCCCATTCTCGCGAATTTCAGCCACATTGTGCAGTGGTCTGTCGAGGGGAACGCATTGGTAGCATCAATTGCGGCCACATATACGGTTTTCTTATGTGCTTTGGCCCAATCACG